ATTGTTGGTAAATTATTTTTCGTGAAAACGTTTTAAAAAAAGGTGTGTGAGTGTTGAAAATCAACTTTTTTTTTAACTGATAATTTAATGAAAGAAAAGAAAATAACAAAGGTGGTGTGTGTGTTTAATAAAAAAAATAACGGGTAATAATAATAATAATATTGGTTTATTTAATAAAGAAGCACTAGAGAGTGATGAAGACGAAATTGATGATGAAGGAACAGAATACCTTGAAAGACTGGCAAGAAAAGCAAAAGCAAAATCTCCTTTTAACATCACATCTTCAACAATTGAGGATGATGATGATGAAGATGATGATGACGATGAAGAAGGAGAAGAAACAGCTTTAGAAAGTTACACAACTCCTCTTGATGATGAGGATAACCTTGTAGACGAATACGTAATCTTTAAAGACGTTATTTTAAGTATGTTTACGTAGTAGCTTAACTAAGTGTTTAATGTTTGAGGTAATTTGAATACTTTTTACTTAAAATGAAAGCTTTTTTCATTTTAAACTTTTGTTAAAGATTTTAAATATTTTAGACCATTGTCACCCTTACATAAACTTTACTTTTTAAACTGAGAACACACAGATACATGTAGACACTGAGATCAATTAAAATAGATCAGCAGTATGCTTCAGACAGTTGGCAACTTTGCTTGATTGTTGCGTGTGCTGCTTTGTACAAAAAGAACTGATACTTTAGTGTAAAATATTTTATACAGTAGTAATAATTTACTCCAGCCTGAAGTAAAGGTGATGTGAATGTGAAAATGATTAAGAGTTGGACGTTTTTATGTTTTGTTTTGTCCATCCATTACTTTCCCTTGGGTGTGTGTTTAAATTAATGAAATTGTTTAAGTATGTTGGTGGTGATTGTGATATATATACCTGCAAGTCATAATTTATATAAACATACTGCAGTGGGAGCTATGTAGTCAAAGTAAAATATTCCAAAATACTTTTCAAAAAGGAATCTAAACCTAAATTTTTTGTAGGTACTCCAAGTAAAGGACTTCTTGAAAGCAAATATAAGTGTAATTCAACGTTTGGACTTAAAGACTAAGTTTCATTATAAGAGATATCTTAGAGCTGTACATTTTCACACGAATGCATTTAACATCTCAATTTTTGCATACAGTAAAAAAAAATGCATAAAAAAAGGTTAATTTTTGTTTGTTAAAGGAAGTTATAGAATCAGTACATGGTTGTATCAATGAAAACCCCAACGCAGTCTACAAATTATAATTAAATGCCTGCTGGCAAAAAAGGGGGTCTTTAAAGTGTATATCTGCATTTAATTAACTCTACTTAAAGCAAGCCCTTCATACAGTATTATCAGAGTACACTACAATGCTGCCGTTATTCTTGAGTCTGTTGTCTTAATGCACGTCAATAAGACGTAATGTGTAGTACTTATATTGTAGGTTACTTTGAAAACAAAATTAAGTAATACAGTTTTTTACAATGTCAGGCTTTCTAGTAGCCCTAACTTTCCTAGATTTTGCTTCAAAATCCCAAGAAAGTCCAAAAATTCCTAATTTTCTAATAATTTCCTGTTGTGTCACTTCCTTAAAATAGCTGTAACTGTTCCTTAATTTTGGTTTAGGATTTTATTAATTATTCATAGATGTAGTAGTTTCAGACTCACAGAAACCGTACCTTTGGTTGACTGCAGTCATCATACGAAGATCTGATGATTTAGAAAGTATGGTCACACAACGTAGAGAATGTTCTTGTCGACTTCTCCACACAATTGTTTGATTAATGGTGAGTATATTATAAAAATGACAAGTATTTTCCTCTTGAAGATAACTGAGGGAGAGATAGTATTCTCCTTTTTTTTTTAATTTTGACTAAACACGAGTACTTAAGTTATAGCACAGTGTGTGTTATCTTACCAGTAATCATTTTTATTAACTAGTATTAATAACTACTTAAAATTTGACATGTTTGGTCAAGTAAAAAAATTGTTCATCATCGGATACTGGATGCTTCAGGAATGAGGATACCAGATTTCCTGAGTCAAAACTGCTGAATGTAGGATATAATATAGGTGGACCATATGTAAATTAAATAACTTGGAGCTGTATAAATGAGAATTTTAAGGGTGTGGGATTGAAAGGATTTGTACAGTCTAATCCTTGTAACATTCATGATGACCACAATTCTGTATCACGGACTGAAGGGCTAACCATCAACTTCTTTTATGAAAGGATTTGTACAGTCTAATCCTTGTAACATTCATGATGACCACAATTCTGTATTTGTATCACGGACTGAAGGGCTAACCATCTACTTGTTTTATGAAAGGATTTGTACAGTCTAATCCTTGTAACATTCATGATGACCACAATTCTGTATCACGAACTGAAGGGCTAACCATCAACTTCTTTTATGAAAGGATTCCTACAGTCAAATCCTTGTAACATCCATGGTGACCACAATTCTGTATCACGGACTGAAGGGCTAACCATCAACTTGTTTTATGAAAGGATTTGTACAGTCTAATCCTTGTAACATTCATGATGACCACAATTCTGTATTCGTATCACAGACTGAAGGGTAACCATCAACTTTATTTTATTTTTTTAAACAATATTCCCTGAAGAAGAATACTTTTTTCAATTCCAAGATGAAGTTTGTTTTAAGAAGAAACTGTTTGTATACAGTGTAGGTGGTTGGCTTTGCTGTCAGCAGTAGTGATCCACCAGTGTTTCCTAACAATTACCAAAGTCCTAGAAGTAGCTGAGAAAAAAATATTGCTTGAGAAGGCTTTGCAGAAAATGAAAAAAAAAAACCAGTTACGAAAACACAGCTGTTATTATTACTAGAACTTGAGCCACCTTTCAGTAAGTTTATGAACATCTGATCCATGTACTATACAGTGAAATAATGGAACTGGTTAACTCATTCAATTGGGTGTTTTTAAAATTGATTGTAGAGAAGGCAAATGATGTTAAATTTTGTGAAAATAGGTACCAGCAAGCAAGAATGTCAGCTATGGGATCAAGATATAGAACTTGGTGAGTTAACAAGAACATTGGTGGTCAGATCAACAGATGGAACTTGGTGAGTTAACAAGAACATCAATCAACAGATTGAACTTGGTGAGTTAACAAGAACATCAATCAACAGATCAACAGATGGAACTTGGTGAGTTAACAAGAACATCAACCATCAGATCAACAGATGGAACTTGGTGAGTTAACAAGAACATTGACCATCAGATCAAGTTGATGTTCTTGTTAACTCACCAAGTTCCATCTACCAAGTTCCATCTCTTGATCTGATGGAGCCTTTTCCTGCACATTCTACATTAATTGAATTTTTATGCTGAACAAAAAGCTGATTTTACTAGTGGATTCAGCCATTGTTTTATTTTTCAACACTCGTTCAGTAGAAATAAACTGACAAACTATCTATCCATCATCATTTGTTTTTCTATCCATTCATTCATTAGTTACTTCATTAATATACACTATTTGTATCATTTTTTGTACTATTCTTATTTTCTATTCACCATTTTCATGCTTGGGTGAGTGCAAGACGACATGTCAAGTCCTCCAAAAGCTCCCTATGAACTGGTAATTTCTTTATCACACATGCTTGAAGAAACTATATCATTTACACCAATAGCATTTTCTGTCTCTCTGAAGGCAGTTCTTATTAACTCACCAAGTTCCATCTTTTGATCTGACCACCAACGTTCTTGTTAACTCATGAAGTTCTATCATTTGATCTGATGGTCGATGTTTTTGTTAATTCACCAAGTTCCATTTATTGATCTGGTGGTCAATGTTTTTGTTAATTCGGAGATAACAGATTGTACTGTGTATTATAAAGGATTCATTTATGTAGAATATGCCATAAATGGTAGAGATAACACTATAATGTATGTGTATTATAAAGGATTCATTTAGTGTAGAATATGCCATAAATGGTAGAGATAACACTATAATGTATTGGGTATTATAAAGGATTCATTTAGTATAGAATATGCCATAAATGGTAGAGATAACAGATTGTACTGTGTATTATAAAGGATTCATTTA